TGTTTTCCTATGCAGCTATCAAATATCTATCATGGAAACACCAACCACAGGATCATAAGGAGCTTACTGTCTCTGGGTGTCTTCAAAGAGGGCTGTGTCTTTTTCTCTGGATCCCTTCCAGCTGAGGCAGTGCAGGGCCACTCAAAGTATATGCGCAATACATGCTGACTGAAGAAAAGTATAGATAAATATGAGATATGTGTTCAAGAGAAGATGGAAAATTTTAATAGGATGCTGAGATTTCCCATGTGCTATGATTATCTTTTCATATAATGTGATAAGCGAACAAAAGTATAGATAAATATGAGATATGTGTTCAAGAGAAGTTGGAAAATTTTAATAGGATGCTGAGATTTCCCATGTGTTGTGATTATCTTTTTATATAACAGTAAGAAATATAATGGGCTTTTGGAGAAGAGTGTTCTCATATGTTATACTAAAAGTGCATTTTGGATTTAAAATATCTATGGAATATTATATGCAGTATATTCTAAAACCAAAAAAGAACTGCTTACCCAGTCCACATATACCCACTCCTCTGATTTTTGATATGCATTTCTCAGCTTCTATGCTCAGGGTATTATTTACTTTCACTTACATTCGCCATATATTTCTATCATCACAGTGATCTGTGTTATTAAAAACCTAATTCTTGGCCAAAACAAAGTTAAATTTGAGATAGACCATCATTTATATAATTTTCTGAAAACATTCTTACTATAGGCTATACAGATTGAGTGTCCCTTATCAAAGTGCTTAGGACTAGAAGTATTTCAGATTTCAGATTTTTTTTGGACTTCGCAATATATACATGTACATAATGAGATATCTTAGTGATGAGACCTAAGTCTAACCACAAAATTTATGTTTCATCTACATATTATACATATAGCCTGAAAAAATCTTAGAGGTTTCAGTAATTTTGTACATGAAACAAAGTTTGTATTATGTGTTTACATGTGGAATTTTCTTTTTGTCATGTTTCAGATTTTTGGAGCACTTTCTAACAGAAACTTTCATTTAAAAAAGATTATTGCATAGGAGTGGGAGCCAGGGAAGCAGCGTATAATGACACTATCTTTATTTTGCTAGATAAGTAAGTAATTTATATCTATTTGCAGACTTTATGGTAATAAGTAATCGAGTAGGTTAGCCAATTTGGTTGGCCTAACTGCCATCTACCAAAAAAGGATTTAATTTGCTTAGTGTCTCATATGATTTTGTCATCAGGGACATTTGGGAGGATTTTTCTGTTGGGGGATACATTAGGTTAGGCTGTGATAGCAAATAGAAGCAAACATGTAAAGGCCCAGCAAGTTAGAAGTTTATAGCTTGCTTACATCACAGTCCAGGAAGGCTCAGGTTTTGGAGCATTTTGGATTTCAAATTTGTAGATTAAAGATGCCACACCTGTGACTGATGCAAGGTTTCCTGGCATGTAAACAAGAGCCACAAGTAAGACATGGGGCATGGAACACCTCAGATGCAATGCCCAGAAGTTTAGATATTTTAAGGATTTTAAACATGAGACTATCTAAACATGATCAGATCCATTTTAGAACTTTTCCAAGGAGAAGTGCAGAAGCTGAATTGAATTTTTAAAATGTGGATCAATGAAATGAAGTAAGTCAGGCACAGAAAGATAAACACTGTATGATCTCAGTCATATGGAAAAGATAAAAAAATAGCTTACAGAAGTAGAGAGTAGAATTGTGGTTATTAGAGGCTGGGAAGGGTATGGGGATGTGTGTATGGGGAGAGATTGGTTAATGGATACAAAGTAACAGCTAGATTAGAGGATAAGTTCTAGTGTTTTCTAACACTGTAGGGTGAATATGATTAACAGCAATTTAGCGTATATGTTCTAAAAGCTAGAAGAGAGGACTTTGAATGTATACAACACAAAGCAATGGTAAATACTTGAGGTTATAAACTTGCTAATGATCAAATATCCTGATTTTATTAGTATACTTCATATACATGTATTGATATATCACTTTGTACATATATACATCTATCTCTCTGTACATATATATCACATAAATATGTACAGTTATTAAATGTCAACTAAAAAGGGAAAAAAATCCTTCCTTACAAGGATCACGGTTTGGTAAACAGTTTAATTCACTGTAATAAAGTGCCTCACAATGCAAAAAGAACAAATAAAGGGAATTTGGAGGCAATGAGAAGCTGATTTTGCTGACACAGGAGAAAATAGGAACCTGGTCAGTGGCAGTGGAAATTGAGAGGCAGGAAAGGGATGAAAGGGTATGAATTCTTCTCTAGGTCTCAGTCCTTCCTATCTACTAAAAAAAAACCTATTCCTCACATTTTTCTCTATTTCACATATATTATTCATAAATATTTCAGAAGTAATACGTTGGGACTAATATTAATGTATTATTACTTTGTGCCAGGCTCTGTAATAGTGTTTCATATGCTTTTTTCATACCTAATTTAATTTTTTTTCTTTTTTTAGGAATGCTTACTTTATAATAAGGAATCTGAGACAAAGAGTTGAAGCAACTTGCCCAAGGTTACACAGCTGGTCAGTAGCAGACACGAGATCCAAACCCGGTTTGTCTGAATCCAATGCTGGTGCCCTTGTGCCTCACCCAGCCAGCCCCAAACTGCTTCCTGTTCTTCCAGTTGTCACTCTCCTTGACTCCTTACACTTGGACCTCAATCCATCTTTTCTTAAAAGAAAAACTTATTTGCTGTGTAATCTTTTCAACTACTGCCCAGTCCATTTCTCTTTCCATGCAATCTTGGTCTTCAGTCCATGACAATATCGATCTTCTCACAGGCCATTTTCTCCTTTAATTTCAGCTGTTCAGTTTTTGCACCTTCTAAATTTACTCACACTAAATATTGTCCTGAAAAATTCAAAATACTTCTCCATCCTTTATTCCCTGGTGCTCACCTGAGTACTTTGCATTATTAACCACTTCTTTCTCCTTGAAGCTGCTTCTTCCCACAAGGGCTGCAAACCTGTGCTCTCCCAACATGTCCCTGTGTTTTCTTCTGCCTCAACCTCCTGAGTAGCTCAGATTACAGGCACCTGCCACCATGCCCAGCTCATTTTTGTATCGTTAGTAGAGACGGGGTTTCACCATGTTGGCAGGCTGGTCTTAAACTCCTGACCTCAGGTGATCCACCTGCATCAGCCTCCCAAAGTGTTGGGATTACAGGCCTGAGCCACCGGGAGAGTTCCTTCATCAGAAACTTCTATGTTCTGTGCAAGTCATTAGAGGAGCTGAAGTTTTGTTTGGTTCCTTTTCTTTTTGTCTTCTACTATTATTTTCTTTCAATATGAACCCTCAATTTACTCTTCATATTACATTTTTTTTTTCTTAAAACGGAGTTTCACTGTTGTCAGGCTGGAGTGCAGTGGCCCTATCCCAGCTCACTGCAACCTCCGCCTCCGGGTTCAAGCGATTCTCCTGCCTTAGCTTCCCGAGTAGCTGAGACTGCAGGCTCGCGCCACCATACCCAGCTATTTTTTGTATTTTTAGTAGAGAGAGGGTTTCATCATGTTGGCCAGGATGGTCTCGATCTCTTGACCTCATGATCCTCTCACCTCCACCTCCCGAAGTGCTGGGACTACAGGTGTGAGCCACTGCACTTGGTCCATATTACAATTTTAATTATCATGCTAGAATACAAATACCTATCTTCTGTCTTAATTTCTCAACATTTTGTCAAGACCTAATCTAAAATCAATGCTAAAGACATTTGCTTAGCAGCTTACCGACCACACAACAACACACATTTTAGGCAGCTTCCTCATATACTCCCTCCCAGCTGAGCCAGCCACCTTTCCCAGTGTCTCCCTTGGAAACAGGCAAAGAAGATACAAACAGGATTCATTCTACTGTTAGTCTCAATCTTTTGCTCATCTCCCATTTCCCTCAAGTATTTAGATTTTACTTTTCTTTAAGAAAATAGATGGCAGCTGGGCACAGTGGCTCGTGCCTTAATCTCAGCACTTTGGGAATCCACGGCGGGAGGATCGCTTGAGCCCTGGAGACTGAGATTGCAGCGAGCTGGGATTGCGCAACCGCATTCTAGTTAGGAAGACAGAGCCAGAACCTATCTGAAGAAAAAAAAAAAAAAAAAAAAAAAAAAAAAGTCAACCAATTAAGTTTACAAAATTAAAATTGCAGCCTGCCGCTGACAACATGAGAAAAAGAGACAAAGTCAGTGGAATCGCTTTGCTGAATGCAAATCAGCAAACGGCTAGTACTGGAGTTCCTGGAGAGCAAGGAACCTCGGTCCCAACCAAACTTGACTCAGAGCTTCCAAAATTGGTTGCATTCGATTGAGCCAACAATTTGCTAGGCTTCTAGCGACGCTGGAGGGCATATGCAAGTAGAGGATGGCAGATCTTGTGGGGGCATCTCAAGGTGACACAAAATTGATACTGATCAGAAACACAGCGCCAAGGAGACTCTTCAGCCCTCGCCTTGAAATGTTATGATTCCAGGTTTTCAGGACAGAGCAGAGTCCACTTCTCATCTCCAGTATCCGTAAAAATCTGTCCAAATCGCAACTAAGAAAAAAACAATGGTGTTATTACTTCTGCTCCCCATCACCCTCAACCCCAGTTATTATGAGATGGGAACTCACACACAACTTTGAGACAAAAGAGCAGCAAGTTTGCTTTATGGTTTGCTTGTCTGGTTCCGGGTGCGGGGCGGGGGTGGGGCAGGGTGGGGTGCAGGAATCCAAGCTTCCAAGCCTGTGCTCCGCTCTCCTGCTATCGGGTTGGTCTTTAGGGCACTGAAGGAAACTCCTTTTCAGAAATAACCTTTTAACTTTTCTTGTGTCAGCGATCTGCCAATCACGGAGCGGGAGGCTAAGTGGAGGCTCTGCGCCGGGCTGCGAGTCGCGAAGGCAAAGATCGCGAAGCTTGGCGCTCAGCGCGCTCCGGGGCCAGGTGACACAGCCGTGGATTCCCCGGCGGGCGCCGGCCTGACAGTTTCCTCCCCGCCCACTGGCAGGAGCGCCCCGCCAGGCTACAAGCGCGCGCGCAGGGGGGTGACATAAAAGCCGCGGCCGCGCGGAGACGCGGAGTTCGCCCACCGCGCGCCCCAGCAGCGGCTGCACCATGCACGTGAACGGCAAAGTGGCGCTGGTGACCGGCGCGGCGCAGGGCATAGGCAGAGCCTTTGCAGAGGCGCTGCTGCTCAAGGGCTCCAAGGTAAGTCCGGCGCCTGGCCGCGGACACTCCTGCCCACCCACCCGCTGGGAGACTCGCCCCGCCGCGTCGCGTAGCCGGGGGTGCGCCGCGGAGACTGGGGGACCGACCCCCGAGTGCCCGCTCTGCCACTTGCAAAATTTGCCGAAGCCGAGGCTGTGTGCAGACCTCGAAAAGTCGCTGGGAGGGAACCCGAACCTAATTGCCACAGTTGAGGTCCAGGAGGGGAGCCTCTTGTGTGTTTCTTGTTTGTCCGTCTCTTTCACGGGCTGCGCAGACCCGCGATTCCTCTCCTCTTGTCTATAGGTAGCGCTGGTGGATTGGAATCTCGAAGCAGGTGTACAGTGTAAAGCTGCCCTGGATGAGCAGTTTGAACCTCAGAAGACTCTGTTCATCCAGTGCGATGTGGCTGACCAGCAGCAGCTGAGAGGTAAGACAGGAGAATCAACCTATCAACTGGGAACAGGCCCTGAGCAAGCGACAACCTGAAGGCCGCCGGGCCAGGGGGCCCTGGGTGCCGCCTCCGTTGCCTCTTCGAAGGCAGCTACCTTGAAGCTCCAAAAGACAGTTTGGACTGATAGGTTTCTCCCTGACAGCCCAACAACTGTAAAACCGAACAGAAAGGCAAGACTGCTGGAGAAGTCCTTTTAATGTAGTCATTTGGCAGCACTTAATGTAATCAAAATTCCTTTATGTATTCCAAGACAGTGCTGCTGCAGTAATTATTAAATGGTGGAAATTGCAGACAAAATGTGGAAAGTTAGGGTAGGTTGAGGGACTGTGACAAACAGCTTCTCCCAGAAAGCCGGAGTCCAGTGACAATCCAATGTGGCAGTGTTTTTCTTTTAAACATATCAGAATACAAGTCCAAGGATATCATCATCACGGAAGTGCTCGATGCTTTTGACCAGATGTTTAATCTGGCTTTTCCTCCAACGAGATGATACTTTAAAATAATAATAGTAATCATAATAAACTGTACAGTGTTAGAACTGTAGTGGAAACGTCTCTATCAGCCTTTCCTCATGCTTTCCTGTTTCCAGCTACTCACTTAAAATAGACCAATCTACTTGTGAAATATCAGGGACAATGTTGGCATACACAATAAACAACTTTGATTATAAAGCTGTTTATTTTTTTGTAAACCTGTTGGAGAACTTGAGAGTGCCCCCAATAAACTTACAGAAAACAAAAATTCTGGAGAAAAACCAGAAAAGTAAAATATTTGTATTTCACAAGTTTTATTCAAAGAGACTGAGTAAATTGTTAGGCACTTTTAAATCAAGGTGACCAAAAACTGTTGTAAATCTTATTCCAGTGCCCCTGTTCTTAAAGGGACATCAAATGTAAATTTATTTTTTAATTTTAAAATATTCTGCAAGAGAATGAAAATGAATTGATGTGTTAGAAGGAAGTGGTGCACCTACAGTTAAGAGAAATTGCTTTAAAGGAAATTACATCATTGAAATCTGAAAATGCTCATGAAGACCTATAACGCAGGTGACAAGTATGAGCAGAACAGATTTGTAAACACAATGCAAGAGGAACATATTGTGCCAGAGGATAATTACGTTGATTGCACGTGATATTTTGGATCAAGGATAGAGCCAGGTCAAATCTCAACATTCATGTTAATGGAATAAGGAACAGTATAGATAACCTGAAAGCCATTTCTGTCTCATATAGTTTCACAAATGACATTTAACCACAATTGTTTTTTCCCGGTATTTAAAATTAGTACCTTGGCTATAAACACATTCCTTAAGAATAAATGATTGTGGAGGAGGAAAAAAACTCAGACACATAATGAGTGACTAGGGAAGGCATGTTGGTCATGAGAAATCCACATGCTGTCTGGACATCAGCATTTGTTTGCATCTGAGGAAAACATGACATTGATTCTTCCAATTTCAGGATTTAATGATGCCTACAACTTTTACAACTGTTTAAACATATGGAAACCATAAAAATATGAGGAGAAAAGTTTCTTGGAGATGATCTAGACATAACTTATTTTACGAATCAACAAATTGCAGCCAAGAGAGTTTAGATAAATTGTAAAGAGTATCTAGCATATAAATGTCAGCAAGAGCTAGACTATAAGTTGCTTCAGGCTGGAATTCAATGGGATGTCAGAAAACAAGATGGTATACTATACATTGGTAAGGCCAGAGTATAAGAAATACATTGGACAACAGCATGAGGAAAGAAAATTGAAGAGGCAATTAGACATACATATTTAACACCCTCATTTTCCAAAAGGTGGAGGTTAACATTCTAAGAATGGAAGGAGAAAAACAAATACTGGGGGACCTTTTCTGGACCCAATTTGAGATCTTAAGAAACAGTTTTAAAATTCCATGAAAAAGTAAAGAGTTTGTATGTTGTTGTCCTTCCATTCCAGTACAGAGAGTGTAAAAGGTGCATATTAGAAATTCTTGAAAATGTTTTTAGCAATTAACTAGCGTAGTAATTTATCCACATGGGAACTGATTAATCCATGGCTTCCCCAATATGTCTGGTGGATGTTAATGATTGTATGAATTTATTTCAATCAAAATAAAGTTTATGCTGATCTACTTTTTTTAAAGGACTGCATATGTTGGCCTGGAGATCTGAGAATACATTTCCGTCGTATAGAAAAACAACCACAATTTTTATCCAAAGTGTAAAGTAATAGAAATAGAATGAATGATCAAAGGCCCAGGGAAAGAGTTTAAATCAATTAGAACTATGTCAAAGGCTGCTTTGAGAAACAATAGACATGTGATTTGATAGTGTACTGAAAGACATTCATGCCTCAGAATCCATGCCAACTTTATCCTGTTTGAGCATAGTTTTATACAAACCAGAAATTTGAAGTAGTAATAATAATGAGAAAGAAGAAAAGAAGGAAATGGTAAACATCGAAGTTTCAGTCATCAAAATCAACTGAATGAAAAGTAGAATTTTACTAAGGTATAAACCCCCCCAAAATATGCATAACAGATCTAAATACACCAGAATGCTTATATTTATATAATACTTTATGAATTTAATATGGCTTATAGAAAAGGATATTTACCATAGTCTAAACTACAGAGCTCCAGTAACTTCTCAGAAACTAAAAGATGTTGTTTGCCCTAATTGACTTCAAGGAGTTCTTAGCTTAGGATGCTCAGTTTCTAAAAGTTATCGCTTATAGAACTTCAGTGTGCATACAGATCATCTAAGGATATGTTAAAGTTAAGATTCTTATTCAGTTCATCTGTAGTGTCTGCAAAATTCTGCACTCTTACCAAGCTGCTAGTCCACAAACCACACATTGAGAAGCAAGGAATTAAGACATAGCTCATGAGTATAATGTTTACTATGAGGGTAAATAAACTAAAATTCCTCCCATGGCACAGGACATGATTTAAATGTATACATGGAAAATAAGAATGTATCAATAATATATATTTTTTTTAAATCAGACACTTTTAGAAAAGTTGTAGACCACTTTGGAAGATTGGACATTTTGGTGAATAATGCTGGAGTGAATAATGAGAAAAACTGGGAAAAAACTCTGCAAATAAATTTGGTGAGTTATCTTAACTATGTTTTTTTGCCTACAATTATTTAATAACATGATGTTTATAAAGAAAAAAAAAGGTTCTTGGTGTCACAGAAACCAAATGGCCTACAATGTAGAAAAAAAGGAAGTTACAGACAGCTAGAGAAAAGCATTTCCTTTTATAAAAAGGAAGAAATTCAATTATGAGAGTAACTCTGTCTTAAAATATTAGAAAGAGGCATGAATAAAATATCATTGATTGCTTAACTCAGGGCTTGGCAGACTATGACCTGCAGGATGAAGTGCCCTGCCAACTGTTTTGGTGTGACCTGCAGGCTAAAAATACCTTTTATATTTTTAAATAGTTGAGACATTCAAAAGAAGAATAACATGAATATATGAAATTCAAATTTCAGTGTCTATAAAGTTTTATTGGAACGCAGTCACTCATTTAAGTACTGTTAATGGCTATTTTCATGCTACAGGGGCAAAGTTGAATAGCTGTAACAAAGATCCTATGGCATTCAATGACTAAAATATTTACAATCTGGCCCTTTACAGAAAAAGCTTGTCAACTGTTGACTATTTTAAAATAAATCTTAATTAAATGCCAATAATGTAACAGAAGAGAAGATTAAAGTGACAGTTGCATTTATCCTGAAAGTTTGTGGTTCGTGTGTGTGTGTGTGTGTGTGTGTATTTGTGTGTGTATGTGAAGGTGTGATTTCCACAATGTTTGATAATTATTTAGCTCTTAAAAATGGTGGAATTAAAAAACAAAAAAAATAAAATTTTCTGTTTTAGCCATTGAATCATGATTTTGTTGGTTATCTCATTCTATAAATACCCTTGACCTAAGATATTGGAGTTTAGTAAAAATCAAACTTTAACTAAAACAAAATGTCAGATAGGCTGTGCCTGGGGTCACCCTACCCTTGCTAAGGTCATCCTTACCAATCTTGCAAGGCAGGTAACTGCAAAGTACAATGTGCCCACTGTGTGTGTATAAAGGTACAGGGAGTGGCCTCCTACTTCATGATATCTTCCTAGTAGATTATGAACTCCATAAAAACAAGAACTGGGTTATGTTTTTCTTTGTTTCCCTCCCAGTAATCAATACAGTATCTTGAAGATAGTGTTTAGTCAATAAATTTTTGGCTTAAATTGAAATGCCCATGAGTAATTACCTAACTGCTATAATAACCTGATAGAGGCAATGAGGATGACACTACTTCATGAAAGAGCTAACTCTGGCAGTCCTACCTTGAGAAGAATACAAAATTGCTCCCTAAACTTGACAGATACCTAAAATCCATTTTTCTTTTATTTAAAATTATATTTGTTGGTTTTTCTTTTTCAACTTTTAGGTTCAAGGTGTACATGTGCAGATTTGTTACACTGGTAAATTGTGTGTCATTGGGGTTTGGTGTACAGAGGACTTCATCACCCAGATAGTGGTCACAGCACCCCATAGTTTTCCCACTATCACTCTCCTCCCACCCTCCATCCCCAAGTAGACCTTGGTGATGGTTGTTCCCCGATTTGTATCCATATGTGCTCAATGTTTAGTTCCCATGTGTAACTGAGAACATGAGTTATTTGGGTTTCTGTTCCTGCAGTAATATGCTTTGGATAATGGCGTCCAGCTGCATCCATGCTGCTGCAACGAATATGATTTCCTTTTTACGGCTGCTTCGTGTTCCATGCTGTATATGCACCCATTTTCTTTATCCAGTCCACCACTGATGGGCATCTAGATTGATGCTATGTTTTTGCTGCTGTGAATAGTGTTGTGATGAACATATGAGTGCTGTGCCTTTTTGGTAGAATGATCTGTAATCATTCTACCAACCCGGTAATGGGGTTGCTGGGTTGAATGGTGGTTCTGTTTTAAGTTCTTTGAGAAAGCTCCAAAATGTACACCTGTTACTTTTATTTTTTACTTTTTAATGATAGCCTTTCTGACTGGTGTGAAATTGTATTTCTTTTTGATTCTGATTTGCATTTCTCTGATGATTAGTGATACTGAGCATTTTTTATGTTGTTGGCCATGTGTCTGTCTTCTGAGAAGTATTCACAAAAGTGTGTGAATACTTTTGTGAATTTTTTCATTATTTAATGGGTTGTTTGGTTTTTGCTTTGTTAAAGTTCCTTATATATTCTGTATATTAGACCTTTATCAGGTTCATAGTTTGCAAATATTTTCTTTGCCCATTATTTAATGGGTTGTTTGGTTTTTGCTTTGTTAAAGTTCCTTATATATTCTGTATATTAGACCTTTATCAGGTTCATAGTTTGCAAATATTTTCACCAGTTCTGTAGGTTATCTGTTTACTGCTTTGATGGTTTCTTTTGCTGTGCAGGAACTCTTTATAAAGTTCAATTAGCTCCTATCTATTTTTGGTTTTGTCACAATTGCTTTTAGAGACTTCATCACGAGATCTTTGCCATGGCCTGTGTTCAGAATGGTTTTTTTGTGTGTGTGTGTGATTTCTTCTTGGATTTTTATAGTTTTAGATTTTACATTTAAGTCTTTAATTCATCTTGAGTTGATTTTTTTAGATGATGTAAGGAAGGGGTCCAGTTTCAATCTTCTGCATATGGCTACCTGCTTATCTCAACACCATTTATTGAAACAAGCATCCTTTCCTCATGCTTGTTTTTGTCAATTTTGTCAAAGATCAGATGATTGTAGGTATACAGCTTTATTTCTGGCTTCCCCATTCTGTTCCATTGGTCTGTGTATCTGCTTTTGAACCAGTACCATGCTATTTTGGTTACTGTAGCCTTGTATAGTTTAAAGTCAAGTAGTGGAATGCCTCCGGCTTTGTTCATTTTACTTAGGATTGCTTTGGCTATTCTGACTAATTTTGGATTCCATATGAATTTTAGAATAGTTTTTTTTTTTAATTCTGTGGGAATGATGATGGTAGTTTGATAGGAATGGCATTGAATCTGTAAATTGCTTTGGACAGTATGGCCATTTTAACAATATTGATTCTTCCTATCCATGAACATGGAATGTTTCTTCATTTAACAATGTCATCTCTGATTCCTTTCAGCAGTGTTTTATAATTCTTATTGTAGAGATCTTTCCTCACTGGTCAGCTGTATTCATAGGTATTTTATTTTCTTTTTTGTGGCTATTGTAAATGGCATTCTTGATTTGCCTCTCAGCTTGGACATTATTGGTGTTTGGAAATATTGCTGATATTTGTACATTAGTTTTATATCCTGAAACTTAACTAAAATTGTTTGCCAGTTCTAAGAACTTTTTGGGCACAGACTATGGGGTTTTGTAGATATCGAATCATATCGTTTGAAAAAAAAGAGTTTGACTCCCTCTCTTCCTATTTAGATGCCCTTTATTTCTTTCTCTTGCCAGATTGCTCTGGCTTGAAGTTCCAGTACTATGTTGAATAGGAGTGGTGAGAGTGGGCACCCTTGTCTTGTTTCAGCTGTCAAAGGGAATGCTTCCAGCTTTTTCCTACTCAGTATGATGTTGGCTTTATGTTACTTCGATGTTCGAATGTTACATCATTCAGGACTTTCTAACATGAAAGGATGTAGAGTTTTACCTAAAATCTTTTAATCAAGAAAGAATATTCTATTTTACAGTATGAATACCCTCCTTGCAGTTCTTTTAAAACTTTTTATCTAGTGTATCTGGTTCATTGTATTTGAAAACAACTTGAAACTGTCAAGTTTGCCTCAAAATCTTTTTGGGATTCTAATTGCAAATATACACACATGTGTTTGGAGAGACCCGATAGCTGATTTTCCTAATTTGAGACAGTTCTGTGATCTTCTTCTACTTTAGGAGAAATGTGGTGAAATGAAATATTCTGACTGTGAATATGTGCAAATAGGAAAGTCTGGAAGACCAGGGGAATTTTATTGTGATCCTTTAGTTTTAACTAACAGTCCTAGTTCCTTCTCCATTGAAATTTAGCCAGCCTTTATTTTTCTTGGGACACTCCTGATCTAGGCTACTTTTTAGCTTACCATCAGAAACTAATGACATATGTTTTCATGGAGAAAACACCAATGTGTTTTGTTTGTAACACGTTTTTAAGTAAAATTGTCACCAATGTCTTACTCAAAAATGTGCTACTTCCCCTCCTCCCTAAACCCATTGCAAGAGTAGAGTCTGACCAATTATTGTCCTTCCAACTTGATTATCTCTGTCACTGTAATGGAAATATTTGTGTTTAGTTTATATAATCATTTTTTAAAACTTTTTTCTGGATTTAATTTGTCTCCTTGGGTCTTATACAATTGCATGCTTTTCCTTATGCGTGTTTTTCTTGTATTACTGCCCATGTCAGATAGTAACCTCTTAAAGGACGTTACCATATATCTCTCCCTCTTCTGAAATATTATACAATATACTTATACCATACTCATAGGGCTTACCAGTTTTTTTTTAATTTTACTAGAATTGTTTTAATATATACGTAATTCATGCTAGTAAACCACAAATTCTTTCAAGGCAGAAAACTATTGTTTTGTGTCCTTATAGATGTTAGTTAATAGTAATTAGGTCAACTGCCATTACCTGTATATGATATATTGCATACATGAGATTAGTCACTTCTATGTTTCAGTACATTGCTTTCCAAATACATTAGCGCTTCCAAACAGTATCATCTGTCCTTCCACTTTTACTCCTTATCAAATTTACTCCTTTTCACTTTGCTTATCTCATCCCTCTTCCCATACAAGGAATACACTAAACCTCTTCCTAGTGCTTTGTTTCCGTTAGGCTATTTTATACTTCCTCCTTAGTTTGAAGCCAACAACAGCAGCATTATTTATAGCTGTTCAGAACACGTAAGAAATGTTCAGGAAAGAATGAGTCTTTGCAAAACTATCAACAATTAGTCTTTGCCAACTATCAATGCTGGCAATTGGGCAGATGTAAACTTAACTTTGACTATTGGTATGGTAATTCTGTCATGTACTTTTGTAACTTTCTGAAGTTTCAATAAACCTAAATGTATTCATCCCAACTGATGTGAAACTTATACTCTAATTTTGACATTTAACTAATATATGTTGAATCCCTTAACCCATTTATGCCAGAGGTTGCAATTTTTGGGGGGTCTAAAAATTTTCAGGGTCTGAAAAATCAGACCCTGGTGATGACCTTGAGCAAGAGGATCTAAATAACTTTCACATGCTTAGCATTCCAATAATGGAACACTAGGCATAAGTGGGTTAATATAGTCAAATAAGATTTAAACAAAATAGATGACTATTGCTGGTCATTTTGTTTCAGAAATGTACTTATTGACTAGATTTGCATTGGGAAAGATATTTATTTGGGATTAGTCAAAATCAGAATCCAGTTCTAAATCTATAGTTTATGAACTGTTATTTAATTTCTATCATCTTGAATTTCCAAGGGGGGAAGGTGAACACCCTATCTCTAATGACTGTTAAACTTAAATAAACCATAGTGTATGTGAAGCATCCAGCACAGTGCCACTGTATATAATGCATTCAGTAAATTGCACTTCCCTTACAGAGCATCAAAATCATTTTCTGGCCAGGCACGGTGGTTCATGCCTGTAATCCCAACACTTTGGGAAGCTCAGGAAGGCGGATCAGTTGCTGTCAGGAGTTTGAGACCACCTGGCCAACATGGTGAAACCCCGTCTCCACTAAACATACACACACACACACACACGCACGCACGCGCACACACACACACACAGATTAGCCCAGCCTGGTGGTACGCACCTATAGTCCCAGCTACAACAGGAGGCTGATGCAGGAGAATCACTTTAGCCCAGGAGGTGGAGGTTGCACTGAGCTAAGATTGTGCCACTGCAGTCCATCCTGGGCAACAGAGGATAACCCTGTCTCAAAAAATAATAATAAATGAAAAAACTACATTATCTCACTCTCTTATTTTATTCCATATACATTCCTCTGCCCTCCTTTAGCTCTAATGATGAGTTGAAGAAGTGGATAGAGCCTTGTTATCAAATATGTTCTCTTTTCTTGGCCCCTAAGGATGTCAATTAGAAATTGCATTAGTACTAGTTGCTGCAACTGGTACATTATAATTGAAAGATCCAGTTACCTATGCATAGTTAGGCAGAGTTTGCCAAATTGTAAGTTGCTCCAGTAAAGGGAAGACTATAATATTAACACCCAAAACATGCAAAAATGGGAAAATTTTGAACATGAAAAAATGACGGATGAAAAGGAATTTAGAAAAAATCATCAGGTATATTAGTATTTCTTGAAAGCTGGGCTGAAGAAAACACAGGGAACCTGAAAAGCAAAGTTGCATGATTTATGTACCAGAAGTTGTTGTTTTTTTTTTTTTTTTTTAAACTACAGTGTGGTGCAAGAACCATAAATAAACTAAGAGGAATGCCAGTATGGAGGAAGTTGAGATAGAGGAAATGGAGAAATCACAGCTTGGAAATGTCAGTAGTGAAAAAATTGAGAGAGAGAAGGGGAGAGAGACAGAGAGAGAGAATGTGTGTGTTATAGGAAGACATGGTGCCTGATAAGATAAACAAGTAGGCTATTACCATTTATTCATTTATCTTTATTACTAGAGAATTGTTCCCAATATAGGATAATTTATGAAAGTGATTTTAAGTTAGAGCATGCTTTAATTAGTAAAAGAAAAAAAAAGTTAAGATTCGGAATACAACACAATAGCAATTTCATTTCATTGTTACTTATAAAAGCTGTCTTTTCGTAACCAAAAATATCAACTAATCATGTGTTAATTAGACCATTTTGTCAATAATTGAATTTTTAAAATTCTCTGGGTGAAATTAGACGTAAGATTTTCTTTTCCTTAGGAGTGAATTACAAAATTTAACTACCTTCACAGAATGGCTAAAATGATACTACAGATTTCAGTTATTTTTTGTTTGCATCTAGAAATGTCTGTAACTTTAATTTTTTCTATGTGCTTGATATTATAATGACAATCTATAAGATACACAAACATTGCTAAGAACAAAAAAATTTAAGATAGAATAGGAAACATTTTACTCTATGGTTTTCTAGCAATTTTTCTAATATGTTTTATAGATACACATGCATATATAATCCAGAATAGGGAATAAATTGTTATCGTAATGGAGGAAAAGTGAAAAATATCATTTGTACACAGCCAAAGCCTTAGACCCTGTTATGTAGATTCATCCTTTGAACTCTGTCATTTGAAAAATTGTCCAGTTCTTAACCTGATAATGGATAAGAAAAATAATCCCTTGCTTTCCTCCACCAAAGACTTAAAGATAAATATTGCTTTTTTGAAAAAATTAAAAATAAACATTAAACATTCCCAAGTTTTCTATCTGGCTTCCTCTTGTTCATGTTGAAAACACAACAGTGGGGTGTCAGCAAAGCTGTAAATACCTGAGAATAAAAGCATAGCGCCAATATGCATGAACAGAAATTCTGTTCAGACATGCTGGAGACTTCTGCAGAAACTAACAGAATCTAACCGGCTTCAGTAATTTCAGCCATCTGCAATTTTTTCTGCTTATATAAACAATTAATATTTTGGTTTTCTTTTGTAAAGGAAATCATGCAGAGATTTTATGCATTCTCCTTAAGCCTACTTAATATCAGACTGACACATGGCTTAAGTGAATAGAATCTCCAATTTACTTTTTTATTCTAGAGCTACTATTAGGTAGAAGTATATCGGAATGCTTGTCAAAAAAAAAAAACTTCAAGAGGAATTTTTTGAAATAAAAAGAAGGTAAACACGTATCTACCCTCTGTTTCAGACTCATTGTATCATTTTCTTTACAGTACTGTAAAGCATAAAAAAAAATAGGAATTAAGATGTCAAAAAAAGAATTTTTCTTTTTAAAAAGGCTGAGCTGGAAGGGATAGGAATGTTTAAATCCAAAAGGAAAACTAAAGTTTGAAATATCAATTTGATCTCACAAGGGTTTTTTTTTCTTTCTTTCTTTCTTTTAGCAGTCATTAGAATAAAAACAGGAAAAGTGCTTACACATGGATATGAGTGGCAAAACGGTAAACTATCAAAAGAATAGCTGTAAGCAGTGATTAATACAATTTAGTGATAGACACTACTAAAGACCAGATGCCGAACTAACTGAAAATCACTTCTTAAACTGGATAAAACATTTATGTGATTTCACACAACACAGAGTTCAGGATTGCTTGATCTTACCGGTCAATGGTATTATCAGGGCCCAGGGTCCTGTCCTTCCTCCCACCTGCCATTCTTTATGTTGGTTTCATCTTCAGGATACTCGGAAATATGGAATGTCCATTTAAGTTACAGCATTCGTGTAGAGCAGGCAGTGTAACCATTTCTTCTGGTTTAAGAGCAACGAAAAGTTTCTCAGCAGCAACCATCCTGTTCCCATTTCTAGCTGATTGCCTCCCAGGTCTCACTGACCAAAACTGGGTCACCTGCTGGCTCTTAAACCAGCCACTGTCAAAAAGAATGAGATTTCTATGACTGAATGAAGTTAATTAATCGGTGTCTGTGTCTGCATTATATTTGAGGAGATCATCTTCCTCTGTATTATATAGAATTTTTATTAGAAAGAAAAAAGGAAAAAATAAAAACTTACTCTTGTAAGAAACCAAGAGTAAGCACAACTCTATATTCCAAGATCCAAGAGAATTAAACAGAGTAGATAAGTGTGGAACACTGAGACATGAGAACCATATGCAGAGAAGATGGGTAAATAAGTTTTGTGTCCAAAATTTAGCAAACAAGAATAATGTATGGAATTATTGAAGATACTGAGAATTGAATGGAAGTAACAAACATTGTTGAAATACAACTTGTAGCATAAAATCTCACATTTGGCAACTAAGTGAAGTTTCACAGATATATGACAAGCTCCACAATGATTAGGCAAGCAGAATCCAGGGTTAATGACTAGCTTTAGAAACAAAGCTCTTTTAAAATATTTCATTGATAATATTTGCAGAAATCTCCCTAGGTATCTGGAATAGCTATAAAAACTTTGGTGTGTGAAAATATGGTAAAGGATAATGACTACATTTCTTTTCTCCCCTGTGCCTCTGGATTAGGTTTCTGTTATCAGTGGAACCTATCTTGGCTTGGATTACATGAGTAAGCAAAATGGAGGTGAAGGAGGCATCATCATCAATATGTCATCTTTAGCAGGTAAGGGTAATTATTAGATTAAATGTAACATTTTCTTACTGGTAATTCGGACCACAAAAACAAATCTTCAAAGTATATTTATTATCAACTCAAGTTTGAAATGGAAAATCTGATTTTTTATAGTTCCACAGAATTTTCTATTGCATAATATCACAAGTTTGAAAAACAAGTTTATATTATTTTAACTTGTGGCTTTTAAAATTATCTTACTGCAGTACTGTTTGAAAATATATGTATATATTTTTTCAGAGTTACTGTTTTTCAAAAGTTGTTGTGAGATGCCTAAGGAATAATGTATGTGAAAGCACTTCTGGCAAAGTAAAAAGCACTAATATGAAGTTAAGTTGTCTCTGCTCCCATGTGATTTTAGTGAGAGTGTGTAATTGTAAAATATGGTATAAATCATAGTTAAGATATGTTAAACTAATAAATAAAGCCAAACATGCTATGACTTACATATAATATAAGCATATTCCTTACTTGTACATCAGTCCAAGGCAAGGTCCTTGTTGCAGTTACCTCTTCTGTATGCAGACACTTGAAATCCTGGCTGGCAGAAGTTCAGCTATCTTTAGCAGGGAGCTCCCAAAAATACTCTAGAATTGGTGGATTCCTTTCCGTCTAGAAGAGAGAGAAAAGAAACATGGAGGAGGCATGGCTACTCTTTTAAAAACCCCAACTGAATAATGGCAGACATTATTCTGCTCACATTTCAGTATAGAACTTGAGCTCACATTTTACCTGACTGTAAAAGAATCTGTCTGGGAAATGCAGTCTAGCTGTGTGCCTAAGGGAAGAATGGATTTCAGAGGGCAGCTAATCATCTTTCCCACAGTATGCAATTCTAAACTATATTGTTTTCAGGGCAGCATGATTTAGAGCTGATATCTTCTCCTTCAATACAAGCTTTAAACCTGTGACTGGATGTTTTGGAGCAGCCGAGTCAAGTGACTTTACTTTTTCAAACTCTAGGAAAAAAATCATCAACGGCTCTTGAATAGTTCAAATGAAATTGTGAAGTTTAGAAAGTCTGATCAATATGGACAGCAAATCTAAGCTGTGTCCAAAAACAGTGAGGCTTTTTTAAATTATCTTCTTGGTTTTAGTTCGTGTGGTGATTTGAAAATAGGAATTTCAGCCCCATGTCCCACCCCAACTTGGCATCCCAGCTCCACTGATTTGGGAAGTTGGGTTTGGAGGTAACTGTGGCTGAACCGCTGTCTGATTCTCAGTATTTTTCTCATCCCTCTAGGAATGATTGTCAGATATCCCTTTTACATCACTGTAAAGCTGCCACCAGAGGAGATTTAGAAGTCTCCTTTAGAAGTTCTCAAAAATAAACTAGCATCTCATTTTCTGGGTTGCTTAAAGTCAAAATCATGTCCCTAAAGCTATTACAAACCTAATTCTATACATTTTTCAGGGTAATAAGGTTATTTTTCCTAGTAGTACAACGACTTATAAATGATAACATTTTAATTCTAATGATACTTTAAAAGGTGAGAACATGGGCAATATGTGAAAGGGATATGTGTTCCGGAGAGGGCCACATGTTAAGCTGTGGGAGACTGAAACCCTAAAGCAAATTGGCAAAGTTAAATCTATACTATTTTGAAATAAAATTATAAGAAAAAAACAAGTGACTGGAGAATTAAAAAGAGATATTTAAAATTTCCTTAAAAGCTTAAATCTTTAAAAACCTGCTGGGGCTGTGATCAAGATTGATACTTCTGTGTATTCTTCCTATAAAGCTAAGAGGACCAGCGAAGCTTGGAGTACCTTGAATATCATACAGGGAGCCCCTGTATGATATATCACCAGAGGCGCTGATTTCATTCTTTGAAAGGCTGAAAGCCTCGGGGTTGGATCAATTTAGGACGATCTGGGAGAAATTCTGTACAATACTAGGGTGCTTACATGCCCCAGAGAGCATGAATAAAGAAATGCAATGTAGTATTGCTGCCTTTTATCTGATTAAAATATTTCAATATATAGTTATTTATTGAGCACTGTTTACCTGGTATCATTTTACACTGTGCAGTATCTCATTTAATCCTCACAACAACCCTGTGAGGTAAATTCTATAATTTCCATTTTGAAAATGAGGAAACTAAGGTAGGAGAAGTGTGAAATATCTTGCCTACGCTTACACATCAAGTAAGCCTCAGAGCTGGAATTCACATGCAAATAGCCTGGTACAAGTCTTCTTAGAATTTTAACCCCTAGATTATCTATCTATCTCTAATGTCTATGAGTTTATTTGTTAATCTACCTGTATTTATCTCAGCCTTACAGAAAAGTAAAAGAAACTGAAATCTTTTGACTTAAATAAACCCTTGCAAAATAAACTTAAATAAAATCCTTCAGGCCTCATGGGCACAGCTCTAATCTCACGGCTACATTACTAAACCTTCAGTGAAATCTTAAGCTTTTGCCCTATTTGACACTTCCAGCAAAGTCCTAAAAATATTTGGGGAGCTTACCAGTGTCACAAGTCAAAACAGGCCATTAGGAAGAGCAGTTTAAGGCTTGCAATTCGATGTTCCCTTTGCTTTGTTGGCTAGGAGCTTCCTTTACCATCCTGCTCACCCCCACCCCAGGGTATTAATCTTCTTACCTATGTCAGATACAATATTTGCAATCATGTGTGGGGATTTCTCTATTCATGCAGATAAAACAATGACTTCATATAAATTCAGTGAAAAAGTTTTCTTTGGTTTTAAATTACTTTCCTGGCACTGGTACAATTTAATGAATAACATTGCATTACACACTGCTTCTCCCTCTGACTTTGCTTCCTATGTGCAAGGCAACACTATATAAAATGGTTAAGTAGCTTAAGTTTATCATTGTGCCCTCTGTTTGGTTTATTATGCCCGCCCCCCCCCTTCCAGGCAGTTCCCACAAGCAATCGACCAGGGGCCCCAGGGAGAGACAACCTAGTTCCCCCCCCCCCCCCCCCCCCCCCCATTTTTAGATGTTGTCCTTGGCACCCTCCCTTCGCAATTCCAACCTCCACACCTCTTGTGTTTACACTGTTTCCATACTGGCCATGTGGACAGTCCCTGCTACTTCCTTTTCCATCCACTAACATGCCTCATCTCACAGTCTTAAAATGAATTGCCTTGTATTTTGTCAACCAACCAAGAGCCTCCAATTCTTCCCATAATGAAAATCATTTGATAACAATTCAGGATATTGTAATATGGGACAAGGCAAAAGAGGCCTCCTCTGTCTTCTTCATTCCCTCAGAAATGGTATCAACAATTTTATGCCCTTGAGACATAGCATGTAGAAAGAGGTGAGAGGACCAAAAAAATCTTTAAGGAGTTATCAGAGTACTTCTAATATTTGCCTACCTGTGTTTTCCAAACCTTCCTTCCTCACAGATTATTTTTTCCTGTTTTTCTCCATACTGCTTACTCTATTGAAGGAGTATTCAACCCAACACATCTATCCTCACGATCTCTGGCATGGATGCAGCTGAGTCCTTCATTGTCACAGTAAAACCTTAAGTTGGCACACTGGTTTGGGTAGAGAAGTTAATGAGTAATGACCATTGACTCAGACAGAGTATCAAATACAATTAATAGGCTCAACAAACAGGAGTAGTTAAGTAGGCAGTGATTCCTCAGCAGATTGTGGGATGGGTATGTTCTAGTCTAGAGTTCCAGAAGTTACTCTGACTGTTGTTAACCCACATGGACTTTGCAACATGAGTTTCTGTTTATAAACACAATACACAAACAGACACTAACGTTGCCACATCCATCCTGAACCATTAAAACAAAGTTGGAAGGAACAATAGAAGAACAAAGTCTGGTTCAATGCAGATAATCAAACAGCTGTGCTGCATAAAACATCTCATAAAAGTCAAATGCACTTCTTACATATTTAATTGCCTCAAACTGTGGGAAAGGAAACGTAATTGTCACAGGGAAAGGAGCCTCTGCTGACCCTGCTACGTATTTGGTTAGTGAGGCTGTGGGGTTCACCTGGGAAATTCTCTGTCACTCGGTAGCATTTTGTGAAAGATACCATGTGGATCTTATTTACTCAGAAGTGAAAACGTTGGAGTATCAATAAAATACTTGAAAATCATAGAAAATTTTCAGCATGTCTTAAGTGACAACCCAGTGACATATCCACTCGTGCTGTTAAGTTTTATTTATGTTAAGGTAGAAGTGCTAAAATAACTACCTTAAATAGAAAATTAAAATTAATCAAACATATGTTGAGCATTTGCAGAAGAGAAATGGAGATGTTAAAGTAATGAGGCAAAGCTTCTTCCCCAAGAGCTGTATATCAGCGTCTCTTAGCAAGATGACAGAACCAAATAATTTCCATGGCATAGACTATTTAAACAGAAGCATTGGCCAGGTGTGGTGGCTCACACCTATAAACACAATGCTTTGGGAGGCCAAGGCAGGAGGATCACTTGAGGCCAGGAATTAGACACCAGCATGGGCAACAAAGCAAGACCTCATTACTGTAAAAAATGTTATAAATTAACTGGGTGTGGTGGTGTGCACTTGTGGTCCTAGCTACTCAGGAGACTGAGGTGGGAGAATTTCTTCAGCCCAAAAGTTCACAGCTGCAGTGAGCTATGATTGTGCTACTGCACTCCAGCCTAGGCAACATAGTGAGAACTTGTCTCTCAAAAAAACATTTTTTTTCAAAAATCCCAGAACCATGATATTTAAGTTGCAAGGCCTTGGGACTCCAATGGCCTGAAGAATGGACTAGAATATCCAGAAATTTCAGGTGAAATAAAACACTGATGGTCTTCTTCTATCTCCTGGCCAAAAGTAAAAAAATGACATGGTACCACTGTCTACTACTGCTCTTGTGATAAGGAAGGGGACCTAACAGATATTTAGCAACTGCTAAGCTCCAGGTATTGTGGCAAACTGTTGGCTTTATGGCCTCCACATTTAAGTTTACAAGTCTCTACAATGTAGGTCAATTTAATTATCTCCAAGTTATAGTTGAACAATGCA